GTAGCATCTATCATAAGCACAGATCAGATTGGTCCACTCATAGTTTCCAAGCCCTCTTTTATGAATTCCTGCTGCAGTTTAGATAGAACCCAATTCTTAATTGTGTCTACGTGGCTGTTTGATCTGATTATGAGCTTCCTTTCCCAGTGTCATGCAGCTCAAAAAGATACTTTCTATAACTTTTGCAAGCATGTTCACATCTTCTTTGATGAAGGTCTTTGCAGACAGTAATGTGTCCACCCATGATCTTTCCAGTAGCCTCCTCCATCCCACTCCCTCCAGCTCTCTCATTTCCAGCTATGCTCCTGTTCTCAAACTAAACGTCTTCTCTTTTAAAAGATGTTCTCTGACCACATTTCTTAAATCTAGTATCTCCCTCCCATTATTTACTTCTGAGACACCTTTGGAATTTCTTGTGTGACAATTCTTGGTTATTAGATCACGTCTGTTTTTGTCACTGCTTTAAAGCACAGAAGGTATGGTGTTGTTCTCAGTACCCACTACTGTGCTGACATATAGTAAGGTCTCAATAGATAATTGTTACTTGAATGAATAAGTGAATGAATGAATAAAGGTGATTTTTTTTTTACTAGAAAAGTAGGTAGAAGAGGACATAGAAGATCATAGTTCTTCAATAATAGAGGGTGCCGTGGGAATCTGCTTGGACAATTAGTCTGAAAGATTAGACAGCTATGTGTGCAGAAAGTATCTGGTCATGACTGCATGATTGTTGATCATCCTTTCACATAGCAGATGGCTTAGATCTTTAGTGATTCACATTTATTCTGCACACCAGCAAGGTGCCTTCTCCAGCATCAGCTACTGTTTCGTGTTAATGGTGTTGCTCAAGTGTGGGTTGCACTGGCATTTTCCTGTGGCTTAAAAACACTGGCATAGTAGTGCATGATTTAATCTCAGCACGCACACTCAGGAGACAGAGGCAGGTAGTTCTCTGTAAGATCAAGGCCAGCCTGGTCTACATAGTAAGTTCTAAGTCTGCTGGGGCTATGGGAGGAGCCTGTCTCAAAAACAAACAAACAAACAAACAAACAAACAAACAAACAAACAAGAAACTCAAGCTGACAATGGTGCAAGCAGGTGGAGTCTTCTAGAGAGCTCAGTGTGGATCTGTCTAGTCTTTGAATATTCTAGAAAAAGTGTGAAGTAACATTTTGACTTTATTTTCAATTGCTTTTGCCTTGAGTGGGGAAGCATTGACACAGCTTCTAGAATTATAGCACAGTACTCGCAAGCAGACAATAGCAGTCACGACAATATTAATTACTCATAAATCGTTTTCTATGTGTAAAACAGTTCCACCTCTTTATTTCTATCGTCCTCCCAAGCCTTTAGATTCTGTGCAGTGATATCCACTTCGCACAACTGAAAGCAGAGAGAGGATGCTAATGCTTTTCTAGGTTGTAAGAGGAAAACAAGGACTGGAATCTACGAAGGCATCTTTTGGCTTTATAAGTGAGGGCTCTTTTCAATTTGTATAGTGTCTTCTGGACCTGAGATGTGAAAGGGAGCAAAGAAAAGGAAATATACATGAGAGGCAGGGGTGGCACAGGAGTAATCTTAGAAGTGTCTCAGTCCAGCTGTGGTAAGAAGATGCAGATCAGAATCCAAATAAACCAGGAATCCATGGTATGACTGGAAGAAGAGTCTTACAGGCCAGGGAAACAGTCACACAGTGAGAGCGTGTGTGGGAGCTTGTGTGGGTACCAGAAGCAGAGGGGGAGGCCACTGTCAGTGGCCTGCATTATTGTGAGTAAATTCACAGGCTTCTCAAATCTTTTTGCACCAAATCATGTGCTCTCCTAAGCTGACAAGTCTCCTCTCAGTTACTAATTTTCTCTTCATATTAGCTTGGTTACCTTCAAGTTGTGGTGGACAGAAACTGAATACATCTACTGTGTGGTGTCTGTCTGTGTGTCTGTGTCCATATGTGCATGTACCATGGAGCTCCTGGGGAGGTCAGAGGACAACTTGCTGGAGTTGGTTCTTTTCTTCTACCAAATGGGTTCTGGGGGTTGAACTCAGGTCATCAGGCCTTGGTGGCAAGTGTCTTTAATATCTGAGCCATCTTGATGGCCCGTTTTTTAAAATCTAAAGCAAACTGAAATAAAGAGAATAAATGGGAACTAGCTTTGTGCCAATAATATGAACATGTGCCATTAATACAAACATGCCATGACATCTAAATACATCTCTGAGCTGTTTTACAAGGAAAAAAAACCCCTGGCCTATTGAACCTAAAATTGCTACATTTTTAATAGGCAATTCAGTGTGTGTGTGTGTGTGTGTGTGTGTGTGTGTGTGAAACAGCGTCCTTTTACATTCACTTTGAAGTATGAACATGATTCTCTTTTATCCCTCTGCACCTAGCCTGTGGGTACTAGGAAATTAGATTCTATCCCTGCTGCCACTTGTCCCAAATACACATTTCAGGCCTGCCGTTATCACGTCTTCTTGTATTTATAAAACAGATGGAGATAGATTCCGTTCAAGAACTTTACTAGACACTAAATCTGTTTTAAAGGTAGACAGCTCATGGAAAAAAGACATGACATGTTTCTCTGTCAAGTGAACCCTAAGAGCTTTGAAAGTGGCACTGCTAAGCTTAATTAGTAGAGAAAGTTGAATTATGATTTACCCTCACAGGGAGGAGTGTGCACCCCATGCAGGCGAGGAATGTGTTGATTCCTTCATATAAACAGTTTTTATACCAGCCATAACTTACTGTATCAGCGACAATGAAAAGCTGGTGTAATATATTGCACTATAAAATCACTGTATTGCTTTGTGAAGGCTACGCTGGATTTAATCAGCAAAGACGTTGGCTTGTGTGTTGGTGAAAACACTCATCAAGTCCATGCTAGAAAAAGGCCAAGCTGTGCACTCTCAAGGTGCTTGCTGAATCTATGAATAGGTAAGTCAAATCACACCACAATATCAGTAAATGAATGTGACCCTCTTCAGAAATCTTCATCTGACGACATAACCTCCATTTTCCCTTTTATCTAGAACAGAATTCTGGGATGAAACTCTGCATTTACTCTAGTTAAGTTACCACATATTCACTGTACTTAACGCAAAAGCTTAAAATTGATATTAGTCGTTCCAAACTGATCCCTTATTACCAGAAGTATGTGATAAAATTTTGCGTACCATAAATGTTCAGATTCAATAGGCAGATGGTAGCTACTGAATTCCCCAAACTTGAGCAAGTTAAATTTAAACACAATTTGTTGGCTCACACATTTGTATAAGAAACTTGGATGAATCCAAATTGAATTTGACATTTACAAATATTTGCACTGTATTATTGGATGGCTGCCTGATTCCGATGTGGTCTTCTTTCTTGGTTTCTTTCTCTAGATCTTTTCAGGGGATGCTATTGCATGCATTGATCAAGTGGAAGTGAGCTAACAGATGTAGACCTCTAGGCTAGCTCTTTCATTGACTTATGGCTTCTGGTTACAGTGCAGGAAAAGTCATGACTCCCACACAGTGTGTGTTATGAGAAGTGGCTTCATGAGCAAGGCCTTGTAAAATAGAAAAGCCTTCTTTCTTCTTATTGGATTTTCATCTAGGATAATCCTTGTAAATGTGGATTCTACAGAGCACTAATGTGATAGTGACGCCCATATGTACAAAGAACTTAGCAGGATCATAATGCTTTCAGCCTTTTTAAATGAAGTTAGCTCACCTAATTTGCCAAATGTTAGGACATTTTATGTAAAACTAGATTTCTAGGGTCCTGAAAAATTGACAATATGGCAGTATGGTGATTGTATTTCCTCCTAGAAATAAAATTCTTGTAGGCCCCCATTTCATACCATATTAACTCTTTTATTTAGCCAAGTGACACCCCCACATGCCTGAGCACTGAGGCTTTTACTTGACCTTCCTATTCTAGTCATCCTCAAAGCTCTGCTACCTTTTGGCATATTAAAGACTTGACTAAGTCCTGGAAATATTTCTATTTTAATTTTTTCTCTCAAATATTTCTGATTGTACATTTTTCTTGTAATGTGAAATGGAAATTTCTACATAAGTTCTGGGGTTCATGGCTTTAATTTTAATCCAAAGTTGACAGATCCAACATATTTCTAACATATTACTTGGTACATGGATCTGGCCTGTAAATCTAAGAAATTCTGATCACTGCCACGAATCCTCTTCTTTCATGTTCTTTCTTTATGCATTAGGTACAGCGGTCTTGGTCTGAAGCCTAGGCTGTCTTTGACTCACAATTCCCCTGCTTCCACTTTCCAAGTGCTGGGATCACAAACATACACTGTCCCACATGGCTACTGGTATGAATTTGATGTTACCTTTTGGCATATATCTTCAGATGTAGATAGCTTGGAAAGTCTACATTTTATAGCAGGGATTCTCTTTCTATCTCTGGATGCTTTTATAGCCCTTCAAGATACAGAGTCAAATTATCTGGTTAGAAGTTTACATGTTCAATCAAACTTCAGGCTCTCTGACTAGAGCTGAATGCTATCTGATGAGTTTTACCTGAGGTTTGATACTAAAATGTCTAAGACCCATGGTGCTGCTGTTCCAATAAGAGGCCCTAAAAATCACAGACACCAGAGAATTGGTTTTGGAGGAAAAACATACATAGTTGCAAGATGAAATAATAATAGGAGTATAAAGTACCATTAAATTTTCCCTAGGAAAGGTGGACCATAAGACATTTACTTCTTAATCAGTTTAGTAACTCTTAAGAAAGGGGGACAGTGATCTCTGTTTTGTGGTGTGAGCTCCATATATATTATCCCAGTGATTCACATGGCAGTCCACCAATTGTAATTCGATACTATACTGCAATCATAGTAATGACTGTCAAAATATAATGGTCTGAAATAGTTGCCATAATAGATGCAATGATGTCCTAGCTAACTGCAGATTTGAGCAGTGTGTTCTCTGGATTTGGTTAAAGCTGAGGCTGTAAAAATGAATGGAAAATGAAGAGAACAAGTTGGTTTAGAAAGAAGTTATTTACCACTTTAATAGGGCTGTCCAACACGTGGTCACATAGATCATTGTGAAACTTAATTGCTTTCATAGCCATCCTGTCTCACCAGAGGAGAGCTAAATACTCTAGGAAAAAGCAAATCAAACATAGAAAGAGGTGCCATGATAAGACTTGTTGCTACAGCACTATGTAGTTAACAATGGCAGACTTTGGATTTAATCGAGGATGCTTCTGCAGTCTAGGACAGCTATACAAAGCCCCAAGACATTGTATTTACAGGACTCAGTAATACAGGGATCTACAGCCTACCATCCTGCAAGAGTCTTAATAGCATGGTGGAGCAGCTCCCTCAACAATCCTCATTTGTTTATCTGTGGAAAAAGCTAGTAGTTCTAAAAATATTTTCCTGGAAGAGGTTAAAACGGTTATTATATATCAATTGAATATAAAGTATGGTTATGTAAGCCGAGCTTGCATGCTAATATTGCACAGGGTTGAAAGCAATAAAACAAGACGATTGGCTTCTTTGGGCCATCCGGTAAAAACAGAAGGAAGCTCTTGACTCAGTATCATTAGGATGCCTCAGATTCCAGGAGTCCACCTGCAGCCGGCCTTCCAGGAACAGTGCCATGTTGGATTCTCACCTTGGCACATATCTTCCTCACCCACCAAGAGAGAACGTAATGGCAAATAAGACAAAACCAACCAAACATCCAAAACGGAAAGGGACACACCAGCCATCTCACACTGTGGTGCTGTTCATTTCTTGAAGAGAATATATCATATTTCAAAATATTATATGTACATATATTTCAAATGGTACAAAGTAATGGTAGATCCAAATTTGAAGATAGTTGATCGTTCTTCATGATTCCCAAAAATTTCACCGAGAAAACTCTTTCTTTAAACCCACTTTCCATGGTGTTGCCAAAAGATTCCGACTCTTCTTATTATGGGATGTTTTGTTTCACACAGGAAATGCACTGTGATTACCTGGTAACCAGTCAAAGTGCAAATAAGAGATCCATTTTGCTTGTAAGTGTGTAAGAGTGCTTTCAATTTTCAAAATGTATTTTCCACAGGTTGGTTTTCCTCCCTTTTGTTAATTTTTTACAACGAATCCTTCTGTTAGGTTCTTGGATGAATCTGAAATCAAAGACAGAAAAATATTTCAGGGGGTATAGTATGAAATGAAGGCACAAGAAAATGTGTTTATGTCGAGCATGATCATTTCTTGAGTTCTAGGATGTTACCTCCTTAGGTGCCCCGAAGCAGCTCTCAAATGGTGTAAAAGCACATGGACAAAATCCCATATTTTCAGCAATGTGTTAAGTTCATTTCCTTTTTGTCAAAACTGAGGAGAAAGACTTTTGGAGAACTATCTATCCAGGACTTCATAGGTATGCAACACTACCCAGTTACATGGGTCCAATCCAAGTAAGGAGCACACTGTACTTGGTTTATGGTCTTACTGCTGCCGTCTTGAATTTATTATACATTTTAGCCAAGGACTCTACACTTTTATGTTGCACTGGGCCATGTAAATTATGCATTCAATCTCTGTTCCTGTGATGAAATTTGAACTGAGTAAGACATCTCATGACCTTTTCAGGGTGGCCTGTTGTAAGACATTGAGGAGTGACCAGTGGTGAGATCATTGCTTAGGTTAATCCATGTTTGTGTAGGGACAGATGAAGACCTTTGTAAGGTGAGTATTCCATTTGATGATTAGTGTTAACAAGCAACAGACGTCAAGAACACTCCTATGCCTAGAGACGCCACTTAATCCATTTCAGTATGGAACCATAGACTCAAATATTCAGAAGGACACATGCATGCACAGGGAACCACTGGTTTGGAGCATGAATGATGATTCTAACAGTGTGGAAGTCTCTGCAAGGTAGCCTTAGGCAGTAAGCTATTGCTATTTATCACCTCATTTTTTTGAGTGTTAGAAATCAAACCCAGTGTCTTGTGCACACCAGGGTACCACAGAAGCACACTCCAAGACCACTTTCTTCCTGATAGCTTTGGAAACTGAGTACTCTGAGTCAAGGACTGAAAGTCACTTTAAATCTTTCAGTTAAATGGACTAATAATAAAAAGTTTGCATTCAGACATTGCGTAGGCCAGGTGCAGAATGTATAAGAGTTTTCCATAAATTGTTTTTGTTACCTTTCTGCTTAGGTATAATAGATCTTTCTAAACCCTTGTTTTCTATATTCCAATGGTTATCATCATCTTTGGTTGATATTGCCTTCTTTCCCACCCAAAAAAGGGAAAAGTAACATTTACCAAATAGCGTTGAAACTGCCTTTCTTTCATTGCTATCATCCCTCTCTACCACAACACTAGGTGTTCTCCTCTATGGGAGACCATGGGCTCCATCCTGCCACCACCAAATCGCAGAGATATTAGCACACTCAATTTAGAAAGCAGAGGGTTATCTGTATTTACAGATAAGGGAATGAATAAGATTATTTTGTGACTAGGGATAACTGTGACAGTAGAAAGTGGCTTATTTTTTCTTCCTGCACAGTCTTAAACCTCTTAGTCATCTTCATGTCTTTTAATGTCTCTTCCTTATATTCAAATTCATTTTTGTCTGGACAGCTATTTGATATTATTCCTTTAGAGGTCAGTCTCTCTCTCTCTCTCTCTCTCTCTCTCCATCTGCATGAGATAAATTTTTTTGTTTGAGATTCTCCCTCTCTCTCTCTCTCTCTCTCTCTCTCTCTCTCTCTCTCTCTCTTCTTTCTCTCTCTTACCTTTTCCTCTTTCAATAATCTAGAAATCTGGAAACTGAAAGGAAGTCAGAATTGTTAAGACCATAGTTTCTCAAAACATTTCAGACCTGATAGAAGCTGAGTGAAGAAGAAGCTAGAATATGTCAAAGCTGGTATTTAGTTCTTTCAGAAATATAAAATGAAACATTATTGGGTCTATTAGAATGGGCATACATTGGCAAATTCAGCCTCACCATCAGAAGGAGGGCCAAGACAGCATGGACATATGGCAGTGGGGGATTTATATTGGCCAGTCACATAAACACAAACTTGACAAGACAGCTGTTGTGGTTTATTGTGCAATATGAGTTCTTCTAACTCCCTTTGTCAGGAAACAAAACTCAAGTTTACAAGACACTCTGATTGTTTATTTTCTCATTGGTTTAAAACAAATCCACAGTTGTTCAACTCTTCCCAAAGTACCATACCGGACTATGTTCTGCAATATAAATTTGTTACACTTTTCTTTTCAAGTGACTTTGATTTTCTCTGAATTATATCCCTTTCCTGTCCTCAAAATGACTGACAGTTTCCAGTGGGATTATGACATCATTGTCGAATAGATTGTTTTCTCTACAGAGATTTCTGTTCTTCTAAATCAAGCATATTCAGGGTATCAATACGTTCCTGAACACATCGGGCACAACCTCTCTAACTGTTAAATTTCTTTATTTGATATATCATTTCTAAGAAAGCAAATGTTAGGAACTGTCTGGAAACACAGACAAGATTTCTAGTTTATTTTGGGGTTAGTCTTGCTATTGCACACTAATAAAAAACTAATGAAATAATCCAACCAATGGTGAAGGAGGTCAAGGTTAATATTTAACCATGAAACTTCATGAGGATATCCCAGCTACTCTGCAAGAGGGTGTGCAACCAACTTTGTCGTACTTCATGTGGAGTCTTTGACAACCTCTCAAACATGAATACTTCTTTTCTGTATCGTGACATCCAGTGATCTTTGAGTCATTTTAAGATTCTTCATTACAAATCTCTCGATAGAAAATCATTTGCCTAATCCCACTTGTCTTTTATCTCTCTTTCCTTGAGTTCTATTTTTCTGAGATCCAATGTCCCCAGGGTTCTCTTTTGATTGTTACCTATTACTCAGACTAGTCCAGTCCAGTGTATCCAATAGTTTAGATTTTACATAGCATTTATAGTCTCTCTACCTTACCTCGAAAATGAACACCGTAAATCTTTAAATTAGATAGCAAAAGAAAGCATCTCTTGATTATCTACATTTCAAACACTTCTGAGGTTTTGCTTTTGGATGATTATTTTGGATGTAACATACCTAGCAGGAAGGTTTTGAGTAGTTTGATTTCCTAGGGAAAAAGAGGAAAGTCCTTGGAAGCTTTCTGGTAAAGATTTTTACACTGGCATTAGTTTTTATTTTGTTTTATGTATGTGTGTATGTGTATGTATATGTTCTAGTGTGTGGGGGTGCACACATAAATGCACAGAGGTCAGAGCCTGATGTTGGGTATTTTCTTCGATCATTCTGTACCTTATTTTATTGACACAGCAGGGTCTTTCACTGAACCTGGTGCTCACTGATTTGAGAGATTAACTGACCTGTCAGCTCCAGAGATAATCCTACTTCTGTCTTATTAGCAGTAGGATTTCAAGTATGTGTCATCATACCCAGCTTTTATGTGTATACTGGCAATCTGAATTCAGTTCTTTATACTTGCATGGCAAGTATTTTAGCAATTGAGCCATCGCCCTAGTCCTGTAGCTAATTTTTAAAATTTATTTAATTTTTTATGTATATAAGTGTTGTCCCTGCATATATGGAAGTACACCTGTGTCACTCAGCATCCACAGAGGAGGATGCTCTGAAGTAGAGGATGTTGGATCCCCTGGGATCCGGAGTTATGGATGGTTGTTAGTTATCTTGTGGGTGCTGGGATTTGAACATGGGTCTTCTGCAAGAACAGTGTTCTTAACTGATGAACCATGTCTCCAGCCCTACCCTGGAGTTAATTTTTAAACCAGGCATGGAAGGAATGGTAGTCACCATTTTGACAATTAGGTGCATTTTCTAACTTTTAAGCTTTTCCTCTTCTTTTTTTTTTCTGTAAATGTTGGGGGTGCTCTCTTTGAATCAGCCTTGCACATAAGAACAAAAGAGGTGCTTTTCTTTATTTCTCTAGCCTCTTTGATAAGAGAAAAATAAAAATCAGATTCATAATGATTAAAGTTCCTTTGCGAATTAAGCTATTTTAAAAGTTAAATTGCTGGAGTCAATATTTGAAGTGCGTAGACACATATATATTCTGATGGGAAAACACACAGAGGTATAAGAAAAACTAGCACAAACCCTGCTTTCAGAGCCCATACTCTTAAGAAGGTGTTAGTCTACCACTTTTTCAGAATGGGTAGCTCATATTATGTAGATGTGGGCTTAACTGCTGACTTTTGTTTTTAAAAGTGCTTTTTACATTGGGAATTTCCTGGGAAACCTGGCAGAGAAAATGTATATGCATATAAATATTTGAATTCGCTTGATGCTTTCCTCCTCTAAAGATAGACTTGATACTTCTCTGCTTTGCATAGGTCAGAACAGGTATGCCTTTGCATTTCAAACCAACAGCAATCACAGTTCATTTCCCTGGTGCCTTCAGCTGCCTGGGTCCCCTTTAGCCCACCCTGGTGTTAGCAAACAGTGTGCCACAACCTCTATTACAATGATTGGATTCTGCATAAGGCTTCTGTGAGATAGAAAGTATCTGGGGGTGCATTTACAGCATGCCCGAAGGTTAAAACAGACTCTACAGAAGCCAAATCACAACAAAGTTACTTTGCCCTCAGAAAAGTAGCTCAAACTATTTCTGGATGTTTTAATTTTTTAGTTTGTGTTTTGAGTATAAATTCTATTTTCCCAATGGTCTCTAAGTTGGTACTCTTAGAATTGCCCATATTTAAATTCTGAAGTAATTTGATTTCCTTCATTTTCTTTAATGTGTTCTGGTTTTAAAGTCACCCTAAGAACAGGACTTACTTTCTCTAAAGGATGATCACTCAGTGTTAGGTAGGGACTGAGATTTGGCCTAAGACATATAAGTAATATGTTCAAAGCAAAGGTGACTGAACCTCAACTAACTCAGAGTAACTTCATCCAAACTAATTTGTATGCGTATCTGCACATAATTTGGTAAAATCTTTCAGGCAAAACATAAGCATAGGCAAATCTTACCTCTACCAGCTAATTTAAAAAATTGTTTTGAGGCTAAGTAGTACAAGATATCCTCAGTTCTGAATTCTCCCTCATGTAGGTGTTCAGTTGCAATGAAAGACAATAATCTACTTGAATTATTCACGGACACAAAGATGCATATGAACAAACTAAGGTGGTTCAGAAATCGCTCTTGACCACAGGCCAGGCAATTATGGCCATTTACTGGCCAATGTGGTCAACATAAGCAACCGTATTTGATGTACCTTTATTTTGTATGTGAAAAAATAGAATATTTTCATACAGTATTATATGGCATTATTCCTGATTTCTGCATCACAAAGCTGCAAGAACCAGTTTTGTTTACTGAAAATATGATACTGGGAAGAAAGATCCCATCATGCTCTATGATTCATGACACTGGAATTCAAGACACTCTGCAAGGTCTGAGTCACCTTTTTGGTAGAGTAAATGTTCAACATTCAGGATTTATAACTGGTGGAAGTTACTTTAAAAATTGCTAAGAAATTAGCATGCACACACACACACACACACACACACACACACACACACACTCAGAACTGATACTCTGATATTTGGGTGGCACATGATGCGTGTTGTTAAAGTGCCCTCATCCTTTTGCACTAGTGAATAGATGACCCCTGTCTTAAGTGTCCGGGCTTCACCCACTTTGTCCCCTTTAGGTTTCTTACACTTTCCAATCTCTGTAGGGTTAGTGGCTGGCCTAGTTGTGTCTCTCCACCTTGGTCTAGCATCATTATACTCATTCTAGTGGGTCAGACAGTTGTACCCTCAGATTATAATACATTTTGAAGACACTCCTGGTTTAACCAGAGAAATCAAGGAATGATTATTGACTTTACAAAACCCTTTTTACTTCTCTAAGTAAACCTTCAGAACACAGTTATACTTAAATGCAGTCCTTTCCAGCAAACCATCTGCATGAACAAGGCAAGACTTGTTTGACTATCTTTCTGAGCACTATAGCTGTGGATGATTACCCAGGAGCTCCCCTACTGATTCTCTTCACTTTGATTTATTTATGATTCTGTAACAGAAATGTAGAACTGTCCCACACAGAAAAGCCAAGCTCAGTTTCTATTTTTAATTCTTGGATGGACACTGATCTGCCTAGTCCAGACTGTTTTCTCTGAGAGAAATTCCTTCCCTCTGTCCCATTCAAAGCTTTTCTGAATGTTGAACGTCAAGGCAAACTGTATGGTCTGAAACATGAATGAAATATTTGAAGTATGTGAACTTACTCTTGTGGTCTTAATTTTGTTGCCTGTAGCACACATCCATCCAGAATTATCAGGGAGTGTCTTACATTCTTCTCCTTCTAGGCAGGGCTCCATCTCACACCACCATTTCCCAATCACTATGGAAGCTGTGCAAAAAACGAAGACAACTCTATTAGCAGTCCATCAAATAACTCTGCAGACTGATGCTGTATCCCTCTGCAGGTTTTAATGTTTTTTGAAGCACATTACATATTCTACTTACATATTTGAGACTGGATAAGAAAAGTTTACAAAGGAAGATAAGATCTAAACTAACAAGTCTCATAATGCAAATATAACAATATCATCTGATTTCCTAATGCATCCTGTCATCCAAAATCACCCCAAATGATTATAATATGAGGAAGAGGGATGCTTTTGTTTTGCTTTGCTGTTTGAGACAGGGTCTTGCCAGGAAGCCTTTTCTACTCTGTTACTATGTGGGAGACTTGCTTTTAGGTCCTGAGGGATTTTTGACTCACTATTTTTGGAAAAAGGGGACCGTGTGCCATGTTATTGCCTTTAAGGGGACAAAGGAGCTAAGTATTCCTCAGAAGGACTGAGTCATTCTTTCAAAAAAAACAGTTTATGCACCCAGCATTAGGCTTATCCCTTAGCCTAGGGCCATGGAGAATCTCAAAAACCTAGCAAAAGAAAAAAAAAATTGAACTGACTGAAAGCACAGAAGCAAAGTTGCAGAGTACAAATCAGAGTGATGATAAAGGAAAATTTATTCCTTTGCAGTCAAAGGTACAGTTTATATGGGCTGTGGTTTCCTCTTCAAATGTCTGAGAAGGTGTGGGAAGCACTATGACAAGCCGAGCCTCTGATAAAACAGTCCTTCTCAGGGTTATGTCAAGGATGACCACATTAAGATGCTGGCAATGAATTTAGTACATATATTTATTACCCACATTTTGGATAATGAGATTTTATAAAACTCCCTGAGTGAAAAGTTATTTCTTCACAAGCATCAGTCACCCCTGTAGTTTCTCATGGTATTGAGCTCTTCACGAATCTACCTGGGTATTTTTTTCCCATTCAGAAATCTCAAAATGGTCAATGGTAGCCATGTTTGCTTTGGGATACTTTTCTACTAATTTTTCCTTTTTTTTCCTTTTTAAATTATTTATTTAATAACCACATACTTAGAAGAAGCATTTCATTACAACAGCATTGATATATTCAATAACGATTTCTGGAGCTAAGATGCATCTCTTTCAAAATTGGCTGTAAATTTTTAGGTTTACAGTTGAATTATTACAGTTATACAATATTGTACTCCTTATAGACCCTATAAGACATAAAATTAAATGAGAGTTTAACCTTTAAAAAAAGATCTCCATTTCATTATTAAAATACACAGTTTCATACAGAAAAATTCATTTTTAATGCAATTGACATTAAGATGTTTGCACATGCGTTTATAATCTCTATATATCTGATTATTACTAGTCACAGTTGGTTACTTTCTTTTTCTTTTTTCTTTTATACTGTGTATTTTTTAGCTACTCATCCCTCAATGTCCATTTCCAAATGTATCCCCACCATGATGTTTAAATCTCATAGCGACAAAGAGGGAAAATGACATTTGTGAGTATTACAGAGGGTAATATTGAACTGGAATGGGGAAAATCCTCCAGCGAAGTAAAAGCACATCAGTGTTCTCCACCCACCCTGTGTTCGCTACAGGGATCACCCTGCTAACTTAAAAGTCGATGGCTCACACATCAAGACATCCACTTGGACTTTCCTTTTCCATTCTTTCTTTAGCTCAGTGTTTCCCTTCTTTAGAATTCAGGGTTCCTTCAACTTTGTTTCGAGTAAAATGACTGGATAGGGTTATATAGACAATAGCATATCTGTTCTTTTATACTATGAATTTAAGAAAAATTTCAAAGATAATTTACCATAGCCATAGTTGATTGTTATAGTTTATGTGGAACAGATATATACATATGTATATATATATATATGTGTGTGTAGTATATGTAAAAATATATTATATATGTGTGTATATATATATGATAACTTTACAGGATCTACTAAGAAAGAAAGTAGCAGAGGTCAAAGTTTGTTAAGATTTCCATCTGTATGTAGGACAAATGATTCTTGAATGAAACGCACAAATCCCCTCACAAGATTCGAAATGTTATGAGTTTTTAGTTATTTTTCTCTTTAGTAGCAGGGCTCTATACTGAGGCATGGAGTAAGGGAAGTTTCTTGTCATGGGTTAAAAAAAACTTATGCTGATGAATAGGTAACAACATTAAATATTAAAATCAACAGTGTGGAGAACAAGAAGACATGCTATGTTGAGAGGAAACAAAACTAAAGGGTAAAAAGCTCTCTTAATATGAGATAAAAATCAGGGTCTCTGGTGTTTATGGAAAAACCTTTAATCTGTGGCTCCCCCTTGACAGGAGCTTAATCAGAAATAATCTATTCACATTTATAACCAGTTCTGATACTTATTTTTTAAAATCCAACTCTTATTTCTGTATCGCTGCCCTGAATCTAAACCATTGTGAAGAGACACTCTCTAATCTCTGCTCTGAGAGGAAGGACACTTTCTTAATATCCTTTTGTTGAGAATGTGGTTACCCATTCTTCCCACCTTCCATGGTAATAATGAACGCCTGCCAGAGAGGTCAGCCTGTAGTATTTTTGCTTCCTTCTAAAGAGCTGTGTTCTCACCCCTCCTTTAGGTAGTTCTCTGCCCTCTTGGAACTGACCTACTTTGTTACAAGCTAACAAAGCAGTTTCCCTTTCTCTTAGACATTAATATTTTCTAAATGAAAATGTAGACAGACAGAAAGAAAAAAACCCTTCAAACTTATAAAGTACCTTTAATTCAAAGCTGCAAAGATCTGCTGGGGAAAGTCCTTTCGAAGACTAAAAATGTCCCTAGATCTGCTTATAACATCTACAATTCATATTTTGTTTACTCTTTTGAACTGAGTTCCCTGATTCATTGTGCTCTCTGTTATTAGAGTCTGCTACATTTGTCCACCATTGTTTTCTGAAGATGCTTTGAGCGACTCGCTTGTTGCACAGACATCTTAGTATACACACTTCTTCACATCCTAGGTCAAGTTAGGTTCTAATGCTGACTTTGTTCATAAACCTGTATTTCCTACAATATCCTTTATATTCTTCACAAAGAGAAATTCTAAATAGCCTCTTCCTCTACTCCACTGGAAGCTACTTTAAACTTCAGATTATGGGAAAGAGAAGACTGCTTAGAGCCTTCAAAAAATGAGTTAATTAATATCAATGCTATTTAATTATAACATCTTTTAAAATGGAGTTACACTCATAATAAGAAAATGTAAATGTAAATAATTCTTATTAGTATCTGTAAAAAGTTTTTTCAAAGCAGGAATTTTTATTTGAAGTGCTTGTATTTCTCTTAATTTTTAAAGTTAGCAGAGAAAATTATGAACTTCATTATGACATTTTCATGTATATACATATATGTATTTACACTTTCCCTCATATTCATATCTATTACCTTCCTTTTCCCCCTCCTCACCCTCTTGTTCTCCTCTCCCCCGAAAAGTCCCCTTCTGTTTCTATGTCGCACACATACACACCTAATCTAGATTTTACAAATGAATGGCACGTGATGTTTGTCTTTCTTTTTCCCATTATCACTCTTTTCCCATCTCCTGTCCTTTAGAGCCCTTTCTCCTTCAATTTAGTTGATTTTCATGTCTCATGAAATGTATTATATGTATACATTTAGAATATACATCTACGATCTAGATTCTGTAGATGAATAATCATTTTTTAAAAATATGAATTTATTTTTATTTTATGTATATGTGTAAGTGCTGGCATGTATGTATGTTGCATCACATGTATGCAGTGCCTGTAGATGCCAGAAGAGAGGGTCAGATCTCATGAACTGGACTTACATGTGGTTGGAGGCCCCAAGGGCATAGTGAGAGCTAAACCCAGGTCCTCTGAAAGAGCATCAAGTACTTTTAACCACTCTGCCATCTCTCCAGTCCCTGCATATGAATAATTCTTTTCTTTTCTTTTTTTCTGTGTATGAATGTTATGCCTGCATGAGTGTAAATGCACCCATGTCATGCAGTGTCCATGGAAGACAGAAGAAGGTGTCCTTTTCTTTTTTTCTGTGTATGAATGTTATGCCTGCATGAGTGTAAATGCACCCATGTCATGCAGTGTCCATGGAAGACAGAAGGTGTCGGATTCCCTGGAACTGGAGTTACAGACAGTTGTTAGCCACCATGTGGGTGCTGGGATTCAAATCTGAGTCTTCTGCAAGAACAGACAGTACTCTTAACCACTGAGCCATTTCTCCAGCCCCAAGAACAGGTTTTTCAGGTATGGTGGGGAAGGAGCTTGACTTTTGAGAGGATGAGGGCATGTGTGCATATTTGAGGATTTATTGGACGCCCAACAGAATGAAAGCTTTGGCCCATAAGGAGTGTTAATGGGGGTAGTTTTGTGCTGCCAGCACCAGAGGAAAGTTGAGTATGTGAAAGTGATGTGGGGCCCTAGAAGAGTTTTGGAGCAGAAAGCCTTAGGGTAAGTCACAGCAGCAATGATATTATTGTCAGTGTCATCATTAGCAACTGATTATGTGGAGCACTTGTAAATGCTAGGCAGCACACTAAGTGCCTTTCCTTCTCTGGGAAGTTGAATGATGCTTCCAGGTGTCTGCACTACCACACACACTGGACGGACCTGAAGTCCCAGTCCATTTGCTCTGACTCCTGCTATTTGCTGCCTGTGCCTCTGGCACCCTGGCTCAGGCATTTGCTAAACTGGAGGACCTTGGCTTAGGGAACAGCTGTGCTGGGGTGGGGCTTCTGTTCTCCAGGACTGGGGATGAGACACTCGGTCTGCTGCCCTAGAGAAATGGGATTTATGGAATTCCAGTCAGGCTGAGAAAGTAGTGTCTCTGGCTGGGCTGTGATCTGAGAGCTTCTTCCAAGGGATTTGAAGCCTCCTGGGAACTGTGTCCCAGGCTCAGTTAGCCCTCTCCCTTGCCTTTCAGGGATGGGTGACTTGATGCGTGGCATCTCTGGCCTACTCCAGGAAGGGCTGGAACAGGGGTGGCTGGGTGACCCCA